CTATAAAAGCCCCAGCAGCATTATAACAGCGGTAACAGCACACGGGAAAGGTACCGGTAAGCTGTCAGTGGCGGAACCTCCTGTCAATTAAACTAACTTGGGATGTCTGGCCACACCCCAGGCGACTCAGACTGACCTGGGGAAGGGTGGCAGGGGAAGGGGAGGCAGGGGGAGGGGGAAGGGGAGGCAGGGGAGGGGGGAAGGGGAGGCAGGGGGTGGGGGGTGGGCAGGAGGGGGGGGAAGGGCAGGCAGGTGGAGGGGAAGCAGGGAAAAGGGGGGCAGGGGGAAAGGGAGATGACCTGGGGGAGGGGAGGAGGCAGCCAGGGGAGGAGAAGGGAGTCAAGCTAGATAGAGCATGTGCTGTTCCTGGCTGTTATGTGCTGTTCCTGGCTGTTATGTGCTGTTCCTGCAGGGTGCTGTGTGGTGCTGGTAGGGTGATGATGACTACCCTCTCCAGGATATGTGCTGCTAGAGGGGTACAATAAGCTGAGGTCAAAGGTCAACGTCAACTGATTTCAGTAAACATCACCTTAAGGGATCTGTAATTACCTTGTTACTCCGGCGGATGGTTGTGTAAGTGTCTGTCTGTCTGTCGGTCTGTCTTCGTCTGGTTCTCCGTCTCTACCTATCTGTCTCTCAGTCTGTCTGTGTTTGGTGTTGTGTCTTTCTACCTGCCTCTCTGTCGGTTTGCCTTTACCCCTTTGAGTACGATAATTTAACCCCTTGAGTACAGTGATTAAACCCCTTGAGTACGATGACTTTGTACTCAATGATATTAAAATCTTCGTATTCAAGAGGTTAAGGACATATTATCCTCTTGAGTAGAGTGACCCTAGATGACCTGTATTTGTGGTCCTCAAGTTCAAAAGTTCAAGACGAAGATTACATAGAATTCAATATTATGTTATGTGGCAACGAGGGACACATCTGGCAGGTCTTATTTAGCTTCAGGACAGGATACACACACACACACACACACAGACACTCACAGATCACACACACACACACACACACACACACACACACACATACATACATACATTCACACACACACACACATACATACATTCACACACATATACACATACAAACGTACATACACGTACACACACACACACACACACACACACAGTAGCTCATTAAGGTGAATACATAGCATCATAAGCTATAATGTTTATGTAATACAGGATAGCTTGACCCTTGGCTCACCTTCATACTCCAGAAGAAAAAAAATAGTGTTCCTAAGTTTATTCTGTGGGCTCCTGGATGAGGCTTAATAACACACTACTATTATAATGCTCTCCTGTTCTGTGTGTGTGTGTGTGTGTGTGTGTGTGTGTGTGTGTGTGTGTGTGTGTGTGTGTGTGTGTGTGTGTGTGTGTGTATATCGGATCACCTGAATTTGCCTCCCTCAGCTTATTTTCACCTGATAATTAAACACCCTAACATTACCTGGGGGTTAGGCTTTGATTGGTTTCTGCTCTGCTTCTGTTTAGGTTGGGCTGGGGTTGGGTTAGGTTGTGATGGGTTAGGGGCTGGCTGGGATGGGTTTAGGTTGCTGGGATGGGTAGGTTGGCTGGGTTGGGAGATGGGTAGTTGCTGGATGGGTTAGGTTGGGCTGTGGGGTTAGGTTGGGTTGGGTTGGGTTGGGTTAGGGTGATGGGTTAGAGGGGCTTAGGGTTGGGTTGGGTTAGGTGTGATGGTTAGGTTGGGTTGGGTTAGGTTGGGTTGTGATGGGTTAGGTTGGGTTGTGATGGGTTAGGTTGGGTTGTGATGGGTTAGGTTGGGTTGGGTTGGGTTAGGTTGGGTTGTGATGGGTTAGGTTGGGTTGGGTTGGGTTAGGTTGGGTTGTGATGGGTTGGGTTGGGTTGGGTTGGGTTGGGTTGGGATGGGTTAGGATATTTAATGACCAGGTAAAATACACTGAGGTGTCTAATCAACAGGTATTCCCCTTATTCATGGTTTCCTCTCCACTCTTCACTATTCCTACTATCATCATCAGTATTCTCTAAGTCCTTCTTCATGTTTATAACGCCACAAATACACTCCTTAACCCTATTGTAATGTTTACATAATGACACATAACAAGGTTCTTGTTATCACTGCTAACCTTGACCTCCGTGACCCTACTCTTGACCTTTGACCTCGTCCTGTATAATTAACTAAAGAAAATATGATATTGAAAATTACATGGTGAGTGTATAGAGTATGTTAGAGGACTGATTTATTAATACACACACACACACAGACACATACACAGTCATAAATGTATATACAGAAGCACACACACACACACATATTGTATATATACACACACACAGAAATACACACACATACACAGTCACAAATACACACACATACTGTATATATACACACACACAGAAATACACACACATACACAGTCACAAATACACATACACACACATACTGTATATATATACACACACACAAATACACACACATACACAGTCACAAATACACACACACACACACACACACACACACACACACACACACACACACACACATCACCTATCACGGACCATCAACCACGTGGTATTGTTTGTAAACAAAAACTGACACGTGGTAAATTACCTGACATCTTCTGTGTTCAGCTTGAGACACCACCATCAAGATTCTATGGGTATTTGGTGTTTTTTTCCCTGTTTTTTCTTGTTTGTTTTTTACTTCTGTACACACGGTGAGAAAAGTGCCTTACTACTTTTTGCTTGAGACAATATGACATCATGGACGAGATATTTTGACAACCGAACTAAGATAACGGGAGACGTATTGATCATTTCGTAATTCATCGATCCCAGCCAGTGTGTGTATATGTGTCAGTCCTCTGGGAGACGCCTAGATGGAGGGTTTTGACATAGTGTCTTGTTTTATCTCTGCCTGTGTTTGTTTCTTTACTCAGTGAAACAAAAAAACACGAGAAAAAACACTGTGACGGTGTGTGGTATGTGACGGTGTGTGACGGTGTGTGGTATGTGACGTGTGTGGTATGTGACGGTGTGTGGTATGTGACGGTGTGTGTATGTGACGGTGTGTGGTATGTGTGGTGTGTGACGGTGTGTGACGGTGTGGTATGTGACGGTGTGTGATGTGACGGTGTGTGACGGTGTGTGGTATGTGACGGTGTGTGACGGTGTGTGACGGTATGTGACGGTATGTGACGGTGTGGTGTGACGTGTGTGGTATGTGACGGTGTGTATGTGACGGTGTGTGGTGTGTGATGGTGTGTGTGATGGTGTGTGGTGTGTGACGGTGTGTGTGACGGTGTGGTGTGTGACGGTGTGTGGTGTGTGACGGTGTGTGGTATGTGGGTGTGTGTGTGACGGTGTGTGGTGTGTGACGGTGTGTGGTGTGTGACGGTGTGTGGTGTGTGACGGTGTGTGGTATGTGACGGTGTGTGGTATGTGACGTGACGGTGTGTGACGGTGTGTGGTATGTGACGGTGTGTGGTGTGTGACGGTGTGTGTGACGGTGTGTGGTGTGTGTGTGGTGTGTGACGGTGTGTGGTGTGACGGTATGTGACGGTGTGTGGTATGTGACGGTGTGTGGTGTGTGATGGTGTGTGGTGTGTGATGGTGTGTGGTGTGTGACGGTGTGTGGTATGTGACGGTGTGGTGTGTGACGGTGTGTGGTGTGTGACGGTGTGTGGTGTGTGACGGTGTGACGGTGTGTGTGTGTGTGACGGTGTGTATTATGTGACGGTGAGTGGTATGTGACGGTGTGTGGTATGTGACGGTGTGTGGTATGACGGTGTGTGACGGTGTGTGGTGTGTGACGGTGTGTGGTATGTGACGGTGTGTGACGGTGTGGGGTGTGTGATGTGTGACAGTAAAGTGTGTGACTTTAACCTAACCTAACTCCTAATCCTTCAGGTGAAATAAGCTGGGAGGTTAGATCCTTCAGGTGAAATAAGCTGGGGGTAGATCCTTCAGGTGAAATAAGCTGGGGGTAGATCCTTCAGTTGAAATAAGCTGGGGGGTAGATCCTTCAGTTGAAATAAGCTGGGGGTAGATCCTTCAGTTGAAATAAGCTGGGGGGTAGATCCTTCAGTTGAAATAAGCTGGAGGGTAGATCCTTCAGGTGAAATAAGCTGGGGGTAGATCCTTCAGGTGAAATAAGCTGGGGGGTAGATCCTTCAGGTGAAAAAAGCTGGGGGTAGAATTTTCAGGTATTCAGCTTGGAAGATAAAATGTCTGTCAATATGAAACACAGATTAAAAAGTTTCCATCTTGTACTTAATAAACAAGCAGTGTAAAGCCTCATACACCTCTCTTGTTCACCTGGCCAAACATTCTGTATAATTACAGGTAAACAAGTAATTAATATCTCCTGGACTTTTGTTTTAATACTTATAACGAAAACAAAATATAACTGATACATACTGAGACACATTTTTTATCATTGATATTAAAAAAAACAAGAAAGTATAAATCAAAGCCAAGGTAGAGCAGCCAAGTATATGTATTACTGCTCTATAGACATACAAGAACATGTTAGTGTCTTCAGCCAACAGGTAGACGCGTTCAGTATCATCCTACCTCCTTTACCTGTGTCTTACATTAAGTAATCAAAAAACTGTTTTAACTTCAAGTTTTAACAATGTCTTTTCAAGGAATGAACCACACACATACATTATCCTGGTACTCCTACACACATACATTATCCTGGTACTCCTACACACATACATTATCCTGGTACTCCTACACACATACATTATCCTGGTACTCCTACACACATCCTGTTGTCCTCACGCCCCAACAAACAAGGACAATGAAAGGTTCCTGGCGTTGTCAACACTCCCGAAGATCCTGTGGCCCATCATGTGAAGGACGTCGGAGCATTCTCGTTCCCAGGTCATCAGTGACTTCTGGGAGATCAACGACCTCCACTTCTGCCAGGTTGTGGCTGTGTTCCGGAAGGTGCTATAAGGGTTGCGCACAGTTTTCTCCATATGAGTATGAAGGAACTCACGGACGCACCTGGGGATATCTTGTGACGGAGACGCTGAAGAAGAGGAGTTAGTGCTCCTGGAGACCTTCCCTTCTCCCTTCAGGAACCTGAATATTTCGCTGGTCTTGCCGTAAGGATCCTGACACAGGTCTTCATACCTGTAACATGATGACCGTGGGTGACAATAGTGCATAGGGGTGAATTTCTAAAATTGATTAAATGGAATGGCCATTGGTCCAATACTGCGTACCCATGAAAAAAGAACACAGGTGAAATCCTGGGTCATTTGGACAATATTTAGAGGTAGCTCAAGTCAATTGAAGTTTTATCCTTTTGGCAAAAAATACGAATATTCATAATATGCCGGTTTATTTTAAAATTTACATATTGAGCAAGTTTATGTGTACACTGTACATATAAATGATTAATTCCTTTTTAAAATGAAACTGCAGTGAACACGCTTACATCAATGGGTGGGAGAGGTGTGGACAACCCATTCATTGTTTTCGCTTTTTGCTTGTAAGGTCCTGTTTTGATGTCCCTGGTTGTGACCGCCTCTGCTCTTCAACAACCTGCAGCAGATGTTGACGCTGGTCTTCACTCTTCGTGATCTTGCTGTTGAATGCCTGTATCAAGGCAATCCCTCTCTCTGCAGTGTCGTTGATGACTCTGAGACCACCCACAACTGCGACGCCAGTTTTGAAGTCTTCATCATCAGACCATGTGTCAGGTTCCTTGGACAAAAAAGAAGTCTTCATTTTGAGACTTTCAAATAGAAAGTTTGATCCTCTAGAAGCAAAGTCTGAGAGCTGCTTTGTGGGAAGGGAAGATGTGGCAGGAAGAGCAGCACGTTTTGGTGAATCCTCGGTCGCCTTCCTCTCAACGATTGCCCGAACTATGTTTGTCTTCATTGTTGCATTAACTTGTGGATCGAAGAGTGCAAGACCCACCAAGCCTTCACTGAGGTACCACAGGTGACGACCGAAGACTGTGAGACATGTTCTTGATATTTTGACGTCGTGGTACTCTGACAGGTCTTGGAGGAGCCGCAAATCATTAGCAGGAGCGGAGGATGGAACGGAGGCCGTGAACCATGCACTGACATACACCTCTAGCACAAAGAATGTGAATCGTTTCAAGCCTAATGTCTCACGAGCAGTTAGTTTAAACTGATTAGCAAAAATCAGGATCTTCATGACATAAATGAGCTTAGCCATCCACCGTGCTCGGTGAAGTGCTCCGGGCCGTCGGAGATTAAACTTGGGTAGAGCTCCATCGAGACACCTGATTGCTAGCTCCAGTACCTCACGGTAATCATCACGTGGCTGCTGCTTCTTGCCCAGATGATGTTTCCAGCAACAGATGAGGTCATCTCGTTTCTCGTACAAACTTGGAGGGAGGTCTGAGAGAGGGCTGTAGTCATCTTGACTGATGTCCTTCCACTTATGCTTGAAGCGAGAGAAGAGAGTATTATCTGGTCCAGAGGAAGGCCCCATGCATTCCACATACGCTTTCTCGGCAACAAGCTCAAGGATGTGGTGACGACACGCGAGATGCAGAAGACGGCGGCCGAGTTTCTGCTCCAGAATGACACATGCCCCCGACAAGTGCCCAGTGTTTGAAGCTGTTGTGTCAAAACTGAGTGCTGAAACATTCTCTGATATTTTCCACTCTTCCAGCGCTGCACTGACTGCTGTAGCAATGGCCTGTCCAGTCCCTGACAATAGTTTCGGGACACCAAGCAGCTTTTCAGTATTGATTCCGGAGACAAGAATGGCGATTCGGTCAACACTCGCTCCTTGTTCATCAGGAATAATTTTTCCATCCCAGTGCACAGTGAGCACTTCACTAGGTTGAAATTTTTCTTTAATTTCGTTGGCAATCCCAGAACGGTGGGTCGCTCGCGAAGTACGCACTGTCTCATAGTTTAAAACTAGTTCCATTGGGTCATGACCTAGACTAGCAGCCGTGGCACTGACGATCCGGAGAGCAGAGCGGTGACTGATCCCAGTGCGGTCCAATGTACTTGACAATTCAGGGGTGATAACTTTGAGAGTAGCACGTTTACGATTGGAAGAAGATACCACTGGTGATATCGCTAGGGAACTTGTAGATGATGACGAGCTTGATTGTGATTCTGTTTCAGACGAAGAACCCAACTCATCATATTCAAGAGCAGAACTGGCTTGATTCTGTTGTAGAGATTGCTTACTCTTGCTTTCTTCCCGACGCTTGATGGAACAAGCAATCTTTTTGTCTACTCCTGCCATTACACCTCTTCTCCCTTTTTCTCGTTGCGCTGCCAGGAATGCTCGGTCTTCTTTGATGGTCAAGAGCTGCATTGCCTTGGGGTGGGCAACATCGAAGAGGTCCTCTAACTCATCACAAAAAGTTTCCTCTTTCTTACGTTGTGTGTCTGTAGTGCGAGTGCAGTTTTTCTTAAGTCCCTTCCACATTAAAAAAAGATCCACTACCTTTCGTCCAATACTCTTCTCAGTTATGGTAGGAATCCGTGCTTTATTCCAGAAACTAATAACCGATGCTGCAACTTCACTCGCAGAATCATTCACTGTTTTCTTATGTTCATTGTGACCGTGGAAAAACAGACGTAGAACATCTCCTCTTGAAGGAAGTTGTGCACCCGTGATTTCGGTTATGTGTTGACCAATGAGCCAAACTTCAGTTTTTGAACGTGTACTCTCCATTGAACCTGAAACAAACAAAAACATTTATGTAACTTATGTTGTTACTGTTATGCAAACAACAGCACCCATAAAGCATACGGCATGCAAGATCACTTGTATAAAGTTTTTAAAGTGTTATATACCTAAATTGATGCATTGATTTTAGACAAAGACAATGGTACTAACCGTAATACTGCAACAAGAGCGACGCACACACACCCACCGTCACGTCTCACACACAACTGATGCTACTGTACCAGTCAGACACTGGCACACAACCTCTTCCCCCTACCCCGACTGACACCCGCCTCTCCCTCCCCTCTGCATTGCCAATAGCTGCACCAGCCAAAATACTCATTACTCATTTTTAGAAAAAATGTTAGGAACAACTTTAGTTTGAATTTGCATTCTACATATACCTGCAAAGTTTCATAGTAATCGGTTCATAAATAAAGAAATTAGAAAAAATCAATAATAATTTCAGTAGTGTTAACTTCAAATGGCTTGAGCCACCTCTAAATATTGTCCAAATGACCCAGGATTTCGCCTGTGTTCTTTTTTCATGGGTACGCAGTATTGGACAAATGGCCATCTAAAAATAAAAACTTTCACTTTTTATTGTCACCCTAAAATATGATGAGTCTTACTTCACCTGACACATGACCTGGTGTACTGGTCCTCACACCTGACACATGACAAGATGGTAGTGTGAACTTAACCAGATGGTAGTGTGAACTTAACCAGATGGTAGTGTGAACTTAGCAAGATAGTAGTGTGAACTTAACCAGGTGGTAGTGTGAACTTAGCAAGATGGTAGTGTGAACTTAACAAGATGGTCGTGCGAACTTACTTAATAAACATATACCTCCCGGGGAAACGTTCCATCATGAACTGTTTATGTTGTAGATCCTGGAAAGATAATAAAATGAATCATGATAATTGATCCTTTGGTCCATTGGTTTGGGATATTTTACGTCATTCAGGCAGGTGTCGCGAGGAGACTGCAGCGATAGCGGGTAAACATAGTGAAAGGTTACGGTGAAATAGTGTTAGGAATTATGACAAAACTAAATTAGGCAGGGAGTTAAAACCTAAACGCGTCAAAGAGAGGACTCAGAACACGACTAACTTAAATGTCTACTACGCAAATAGTAGGAGTATGAGAAACAAAATGAATGAAATCAGGGCGTTGGTATGTACCGAAAAAATCGATATAATAGCATTCACCGAAACATGGATAAACCTAGACACTCGTGAGTTACGGGTCGAATACCAAATTGCAGGTTACAAATTATTCCATACAGGTAGACAGATTAGGAAAGGAGGCGGAGTAGCAATCTATGTCAGGGATAATCTGAAGTGTGAAATAGATAAGGAAATAAAAACTGAACTGAATACAGAAACAATTTGGATAGAATTAATCGAAGGTAGAGAAAAATTAATCTCATGAGTAATATATAGACTTCCTAATCATGATAGAGTTAATGAGTGACTTATTTGGGATGAAATGCGCAGGGCTTCCAGACATAGCAAAGTCTGTATAGTAAGCGACCTTAACTTTAGCCAAATATACTGGAATGACCCGGGGTAATATACGAGATTTAGTTCTGTCAAACAGAGAAAACCTCATTAGTAATGTCGAGGTAGGGAACGAACTTGCTAAAAGCGATCACAAAGAAATTAGATTTAAAGTAGAACTTAATGTCAGTTACAAGGAAAATTCCATTAAAGTCCCAGATTTTAGAAGGGCAAACTTTGATAGTTTGAAAAGGCAGTTGAGAAAAGGGGTATTACACTTGGGGGGAATTACCTGACCTAACACAATGTATCCACAGAGGGCGACCTCACTTTACCTGGTGACCTGACAGTGATAACCTCACAAAATATGACAGTGGAACATAAAAACAGAAGAACATAAGAATGGAGGAAGCTGCAGCGGGCCATACTGGGCAGCCCCATTTACACCCAACCCCTATCGCTCATATATCCATCCAACCTATGTTTGAAACTATCCAGCATGTTCGAGTTTATTTATGATGTTTGGCAACTTGCTCCATTCGTCCACTACTCTTCCAAACCAGATGAACAACGTTGTTATAGAGAAATCCGACTGTGAGAAAGATTTCGGGGTAATGGTAAGTAGGAATCTTAAACCAAGTCAACAATGAGTATTTGCTCGAAACAAGAATAACAAAATACTTGGGTTCATACAAAGGAGTGTTAGTTACAAGACTAGCGAGGTTATCCCAAAACTGTAACTTGCGCTTGTGAGACCTCACTTGGAATATGCTGTTCAGTTCTGGTCACAGAATCCTTAGAAAGAATTCAGAGGAGAATGACAAGAT